TGGAGCAGGAGGAAGCGGAGGCAGGGGAGGAACGGCGGGAGCAGGGACAGCAGTCGTCCGCAAAGCGCAATAATCCGAACAATTTGCCACCATGATGAGGAGCTCTTGGATCTTTGGCATCTTTCACCGAAGGTACCGCCGATTTATTCGTATAGAGAGAAACAAGCTGCTGCTGTGAGTTGTCGTTGTAGATCTGCTTAAGGCCAGGCGCGTTAACCGGGTTTGCACACGCAGACTTGACACCCAGGACAAGATGTGTCATCGGGAAAGATGCACCGCAGAACCCTCGACGGAAAAAAAAGGGTGTGCGTGTTGTGTGTCGTGTGTCCTGCGTCCCAACATGTATCTACCACGTACGCAACAGCATGCATTTATGCGTACCTCGGCGGAAAGGGGGGCAGCACTACTGCTGTAAATTGCTGAGAAGGGCGGCACATGCAGCGGCTGGTATCCTTGCGGCGCCTGTGGCCGCTGCCGCTGCGGCTTGTCGCGCTGCCGTTGGTCAATATTCGAGGAAAACTGGCGCGCGGGTTGGCTGTGGAACCCGTTGTGTGTGGTGCGCGAGTTGAAAGCCGCTACCTCGTTTTGTGTGGCGACATGGATAGAGCGAACAAACGACAGGCAGATTTGCTATCTGACCCTCGAGTAGACCGACTTTTGGGAACCATACTGCTGCATTTTGGTTGCGCCCAGCCTGTGTGCGAAATAACCTTTTTTTATTTTCTCAAGAAAAGTACAACATTCCGCGATTCCGATCCAGGTTTCAGCTCGCTTGAGTTTCAGCCAGGAAAGAAAAGCAAGACAGGTTCTCGCCACCTTGTCATCACTTCACCCAATCCAACCGAGGGCTAGCGAAGGGTTCTGTGACCTCTCCGGACTACCTCTTGGTATGGGTGCGTAGTCTGGGTGCGCAAATCCGGTTAGGGTGGGATTTGTATTCCAATCTTCCCAAGGCCAGGTGAGGGAACCCGCGATGGACGACGTACTACCCACCCAAGCTGTTCCCTGGAAATAGTCACCGCGCTGCTGCCTGAAACCGTCACGCGAAACAAAACCAATCCTGTCAGGATGAAAGGTGCTTTTGTTACCCACCATCTACAAAAGTGTTTCGCCAGCAATGAGTACAGGATCGCGGCCAGCACGCCATGCGGTGGTCCGGCGGAGCCCTTCGGGCGGGGCAATCGTATACCAGGAACCTCCCCCACGTTCCACCCTCCCTGCTTCGCCATCTTCGCGCTACGTAAATTCTTTGTGCGGCGTTGGTCCGATCAATAGGTAGGGCGGACTGGCGGCGTAGACTACATGTTGTCCAAGGTCGATCTCCGTTGTCCCAACCTGACGGGGGAGGTTGGGCACTAGTTTCAACCTCCATTTGGCCACCCGTGCGGAACTGCTATGATTCCGGCCCACTCAGAAGACCACCTACTCAGAGCAAGACTCAACCTTGCTGGGTGTCAGCTTCATTGCCGACAGGCTGCATCACTGAGCTACCGTTACGAAGATACGAACGTAAAAAGTCTTGCTGTGCCAGTAGCTGAGCTCAGTTTATCTTGCGCCTTTTTTTCTGACAAGATTACGGTTTCAAGACTCTTGACAGGGGTTTCTTGTGAGCGGGTTTCACACGTGGGCTGGAAATGTTTGCAACGCAACAGACAGCAGTAGTATCGACTCTCCCCCGCTGAACGTATATCTGATTTCTCTGTTTTTACCACAGCAGTATCGCGTTGTTACAAGCACGGTCGATTCGAGGGACGGGAAGACACCCATCCATCCTCGCACGCATCATAAAACGCTATCATTCTAGCCCCGCAAAGGTTTACCAACTCCAGATCAACACCTTGTATGGCGTCTCCAAATCTGATATTTGTACAAAATAGTAATGGAGAAATCCCGTAGAACAGAACAACAAAACACCAAATTATCAAGTTGCACGTTAGCCTGTGACCACGGAAATTGACCGAGTCAAGTACTGGATTAGTACGGAGAGATTGAGACAGAAGGAGGTACTGGATAGAGAGACCGGGATGGTTTTTAATGTGAAGACAACAACAACAACACAACAACTTGGAAGCGTCCTACCCGCACCGGCGCCTACAATACAAGGTGTCGGTCATGTTGCTCCGAAAATGTTCACTCTCTCTCTCGCTTGCCCACGTCCTATTCTTTTGGGGTGTATTACGCAGCTGACCCCCCTTGTCCCTCGTTGTCCATCCCGCCTTTCCGCCAAAAATAACTTTCTTCAGGACATTCTTGAAGGCCTCCTCGCTCTGGATGGATCGCCGTCGGCCATGAACGAACACCTTGGGACGGGCGCGGAAGAGAAAACGCGCACTCGCTGCCTACGTTGTGTGCATCCCATAAATAGTCGCAAAGATATTTACGAAAGAGCATACGCACCCCCACTCTGAGCGTCTCATTTGGCCCGAGGCTCATCTCCTGCTCTCTGGGGTAACCTACCCCCGGCATCGACTCTCAAGATGTACGTGTTGGTGCACGTTTAAAGGCTTCTTACCTACAGACCTGTTACTACGGTAGAGTTAATGATTTGGTCTTCAATGGAGCCTGGACTTCCCAGATTCTCAAGGTGTCGGCGCGTACTGCGTCATCTGTACTGTGTGATGTCACCGTATTTCGCTTATGGTTATTTCGATGTGGCTCAGTGCTCGCATCGTATGCAGCAAGCAGGAGACGCTGCTGAGTAGCGTGTGCCAAGGGGAAGAGTAGTCAGTTCTTCTCGCGATTGGGCTTGTCCGCGCTTGAGAACGTTCCAGGAATACTCCGGTGGGCGGGTGACGTATGCTGTCTGTCGTATTACTACTGCATTCGGAACCAAGTCGTCGGCAGCTTCCCAATGATGGAAGTAGGTAATAACTTTGTACAGTCCCAGTAGTAGAGGTCAGGAGGATGCCTTGGCTTTTCCGTACTCGCTAACGTGATCCCACACAATCCTCATCAGCAAACCCTTCAAATCGAGTCTGGTGTTTGAAATTTCACCAGCACAATGATTCTTAAGTCTTGTGTTTTATCTTTTTTGTCTTGACACAGCAGCAGCAATTTGTCGAGTTGCAAACACGAAGTTCAACGCGCATGAGCTTCCATCTCACAGGTGCCTAGACACCATCTCAACGCCTGCTGCATTCACGCTATTCGTCGCACTTAACTGCCTACCGCGCATATATGGCCGCCGGGAAGTTGGACACGGCAAACGCAACAAGAACGGATGATCGTGTTGGAAACGGTTTTCGTGGTCGGCGGGGCGAACCGTCACAGCCTCAACACCAGCAGTGAACGATGGCCTGCGGGAAGAACTGGTGTGGGTTGTGGAACATTGACATGCATGCCGAAGTTAGAGGACACTCCTCCCGTGTGGCCGCGTTTTTTTTTCAGATTCTGCGTTTCTCCTCCGTTTTCACAACCCATTCAGAAGGTGTCAAATCAAGTCCATAGCGAAGAAGACGACAACGCAACACTCGCCGTGGGGGGAACTACATCACATGTACATGCATGCAGTCGAGAACAGGTTCAGACCAGCGTTTGTTGCAACAGACAGACGCGCTCGAGAGGAGTAACGGGAAGGAAGTGCTCAACCCTAGATGCCGACATGCATGCCGTCGAGAACAGGTTCAGACCAGCGTTTGCTGCAACATACAGACGCGCTCGAGAGGAGTAACGGGAAGGAAGTTCAACCCTAGATGCCGACATGCATGCCGTCGAGAACAGGTTCAGACCAGCGTTTGCTGCAACATACAGACGCGCTCGAGAGGAGTAACGGGAAGGAAGTTCAACCCTAGATGCCGACATGCATGCCGTCGAGAACAGGTTCAGACCAGCGTTTGTTGCAACAGACAGACGCGCCCGAAAGGAGTAACGGGAAGAACGTGCTTGTTGAAACGCCGTTTAGCCGATGGGGACTAGATGCCGATGATCGAGACACCCTTCTAGAAGACGTTTGATATTGTAGCGCTTTGCGACGATGAAGGACTTCCAGGGAGGTTCTCTGGCGCTTATACAAAATTGAAAATTCCAAGAAATACAAAATCGGCGGCTATGTCATCATGCGTGTAACGCAACATGACCCACGCTTCTGGTGCATGCCGAGAATCAACGCCAGGGTCTAGCAACATTGGCCTCTGTTCGGTGAGAGCGCACATGGTTTAAAACGTGCGACAACACACGTTTACGCTTGCAACGATGGGAGCAGAGCCGATTGAGGCACAGGTAACACAACATCCTCAACCATAACGCAGTCCATGCGTGGTTAAGTTCAAAAAAATGTGTTCAGGCTTAAAAGACAAAACCACATGGCGACAAACAACACGGCAAATTGTGCCACCACTTAGGGAAGACGTTCATTCTCCTTGCACCCTGTTGTGCGGAAACATAGGAACAGGTGAACTCGATTTCACTTCAGCCTAAACCACACTCCACGCCAATAACGAAGCTTTCAATCTTCAGCAAGCCAGTATCGAGATGCTGCTTGCTTCGTCACCCCAACATTAGAAAGCCACAATGCGGACGAGTTCGCGTTAATGCCAACAACGTAGCATGGCGGGTACCCTGGCTGTCCGATAGCGCGACCAGCAACTCACTGTCGACACAACCTTGCGACTTAAATCCCGCGCCCCGTAAAACAAGTTCTACAAAAGGTCTCACATAGCAAGAAAGGAGTGAGTGCTAACAAAACACGACGTAAGGTCCGACAGAGTCTAGTTGAAGGTGTAGGGCGCGTTGAGCAGATCGTTGATGATGTAGGGCTGGTTCGAGATCTCCTCGTGGATCATCATGGCGAGGATGCCCATCTGTGCGGCGCGGCCGTTGTTGAGCTCGATCGCGCGCTTGGAGAGCTTGGTCTCCTCCGACATGGCGTCCCACTGAGCCGCGAACGGGTTGCCGCCGATGGTCATGTCACCGGGGAAGGAGCCCTCAACGTTCTTCATCACGTTTAGCTCCAGGAAGCCGATGAAGGCGACGATCTGGGCAAGCCCAAGCGGCGGGATCTTGGAGATAGCAGCCACGCCGTTCGGCATGTCTGCGAAGGTGAGCTTCGCATCGTACGACAGGTACCCCGGGAATCTGTAGTTCTGCGCCACCAGGTGGCCGGCCACCGCGAGCATTGAAATGCGGCCGTGCTTCACCTCCACGTACCGGAGGCGGTCGAACCGCTCCTGGTCCTGTGACAACAAAGAGAGGACCGACCAAGGCAGTCGTGAGAGAAATTACAAGAAAAAAAGGTGAGCGGTCGTGAATGTGACGACAAAAATGCGTGCTACAATTTCGGGCCTGGCCAAGAAGACGTGCACGCGAACATACGAGCCCACAAGGCACGAGCTGGACAGCGACCCCTCCCTGCGGTTAGTAGCGACAAGACGAGCAACGAAGCAAGACGAGACCACCATCACATCAAAAACGTCCCAAAAAAAAAAAAACTTTACTGCCGAACCTGATAATCTCGGTCTCAAAAGACGAGAGAAAGAAGACGTACAAAAGAGACTTCCCAACACCTCGGACAATTGGGACACGCTCGGTTCACCGCTAGTCTGATCTCCAGTTGCCGCGAAAACAACACAAAAGAGTAAACAGAAGAATAGAAGTGCGCTCATGCCAAGCACACAGGACCATGCCAGAGCTTCCCGCGACAACAGGATCATCATGCATTGATGAACATTCAAGAGACATCTATCAATTCCGAAATCCTATCCACCCATGGTATGCGTTGCAGGTCTGGAGTGTGATCACGTGGCGCCGTAAGGTGCTTTTTTGGGACCCAAACTGGTACACAGATCACAAACAATATTTTCATTTTGGTCGGTAGTGTGGTGGCGCTTGTCTCTCGTAACACTTTTGAGTTCCGTTTCAAAGCATCCGCGACCCCTACGACACGGCGGCCATGGGAGCTGTAACGGGCGTTCAAAAAGCGGAGGGAAATTACCTCCCAAGGCTCTAGTCCGTCGGCACAGATAACCAAGAGCGAAGACTGGCAAGAAGGTGGCAATTGCGGTACCACCTGTCGAGAATCAAACGCCCCTTCAACCTGTGGCATGCATCGCCGAATCGATCAAACGTTGCCCGGACGCGAATACAACCCATACTCAATAAACGCAAGCGAGGGGGAGACGAACCTGGTCGATGAGGAGGCCGAGGGGGTCAAAGAAGCCGAGGGGGGGCTGCGCGCCGAGCTCGGACTCGAACGACATCTTCATGGCCGACGAAGACTTGGCCGGGGCGGTCACCGCGGCACCGTTGAAGGCGCTGAGATGAGGCAACAACAAGCGGGGAGACAAGGGGGTGAATGAGGTTCAACGCATTTCGAAGGTAGCGAACAGTTCACGTTGATATTGGCGCGGACCACGGTGAGGTTGGTTTACCGCGTCCTTGGTTCGACGAAAGGGAAAAGCGAATACTGTGTACACGCGCCACGTGGCAACAGAAGAAAAAACAACTCAACGACCCCACGGTCAGGGATTGATCGGCGATGGTGAAACCGTTGGGGCTTGGCTGTGGCAAGTCAATTCTAGCACCACGGTCGGTTCGTGAATGGTACCAACTAACCCAATCGTGTCCCGCAACCTCATCGAGATCGAGACTAAAGCCGGCACCTCGCAAGAACATGGAACACTAAGGTGGCCGAGCGCAACAACGCCAGATATACCGTCCATCCGTCAAGTGCCGAGTTGCGACGCAAAGAAAACTACTTCCACGTTCAAACGTCGCTGTGAAGGGTGAGAGTTCGACCGCAGATCCCACAAGGTCAATATCAGCGCTGGTTCGCGGGTGTTGCTGCCAAAAATACTGAAAGGTCAAGTCGCGGGCTTACTCCAGCGGGCCGTGCAGAAGCAGGACTCGGATCTTGTCGGCAAAAAGCCTTTGCTGTGTGCGACCCGGGCAAAACAAACTTCGACCGAGAGAAAAACACGAACATCTACCAACGTTCGTAACTCGAATGCACCGCAACACGAGCGCTCTCGGGCCGACTGGCATGCTCGCGACACGACCGTTCGTCGCATGTCCCGTGACGGAACGACGGCGCTTTTGTGAAGGTTATCAAGCAAGAAAAGTCGCAAGACTGTGCGAGACGAACAAAAGTGGTAATGATTTTAGCCTGCAGCATGAATTCATTGCTGCATTTTTTCAGTTTCTTGGGAAGGAACCCTTTGGTGCTACTGTCTTTGTGTGGTTTCTTGCCTTCCCAAAACTTTTGATAAAAGCATCATCAGCATACGAAAGAACAAATGCGACGAACGGTTGTATCACTGGCGTGTCTTGAGGGTTTGGAATGTCTACAGTCAAGAGAGCTATGCATCCGGCAAGCGATGCATTCGGTATTTAACTTGGAAGATTGCACACGTGGGCGCTGAGTATCCGAGAGGATGTGGCAGCCTCTGCTTGGGCCAGCTAACCGTAACACCATAGAGCGTCCCTCAAACGAGAACAAACGTACAGCTTGCCAACTGGTCTGCAACCGGAGTTCTTGAGAGAGGGGCAAACCGAAAAATGCGAAGTACAACGTTAGGAAAAATGCACAACGCGCATCTCGGAAACAGAGCATGTGTCATGCAACGGCAACGAGCGAGGGTACTCGAAAGATAGGGTATGCTGTTGCTACCTCCGTGCCCCTCTGGTGTTCTGTCCACGGGCAACCCGACGAGCGACTTTCTCTATTGTTTTCATGCGTTTGCGGTCACGGCAGTTACGCAAGGGAAAACAACTGAATATTGATCGTGTCCAAGAAAGACCGATACTCCATAACCAACAGCTGAGACCGCGCGATTTGACGGCGGAAGATCGCGATTCGGTCATCCCCGCGATTTTCGCGAAGGACGCTGACGCTGCTGCTGCTGTTTCCTGGGATCGTCGAGCTGTTTCTGCACTTTCTATATATACCAGCAGAGTAATCTCCCTACCGACTGAAGTTGGTAGGATGTGTTTTGGAGACCTTGGTTGATCGCAGACAGGCGAAACAGCACCACTCGAATCGAGACATAACTTCGTAGATGATAGTATTGAAGAACGAGGCACGGCACCCGGCACCGAATCCATCGGCTCTACCCCAATGGTCTAGGCCTCCTCTGCCGTAAACCATCTGGAATGCGAAGGCGTGCCTCGCTGCATCAGAAGCAAGAGGGCTGTCGCGGCCCACATCAACACAAAAGTGGCCGTGCGGCGGTGTTCCCAGCTACTCAAACCGGCCATTGCCGGGTCGCTTTTTTGGGGGCTACGACGGCCGAGGAGACGGTGCTGCTACGACTGCCCTGGCGATACAAAGAATCCTCAACTCTGGAAGCTTTGACGTCGTGATGTTCGGAGCGAGGCTTGCGTTGCGTTGATATCTACACCAGTAACTGGGTCCCAACGTGTTTATGTACGGTGCGTGTGTACATGTGTTTACACATGAAAGAACATCAGGAAGGTTCTTTGAGATGGTTTCCGGTGCAGCCAACACACCGCCGTCGACGACCAAAAATAGGCGGTAGCTTTGGTACCACGCTGTGCGTAGCGCTGCGACGACTGGGCGGTGGAAAATTACGTGAAGTTTGCCACAGGACACACCAGCGCGTGGCAGGCAGGCACAACTTGATGCTGCAAAGCCGGTTTCGGGCTGTGCTTGAAGAAACAGCCTGTGTCCAGGCATTCGGTGTGAGGGCACGCAAGCCTGGCATATGACAGCTGGAGTTGAATATGAAACCGGGCTGGCCTGAAGGCGCATGAGCGGGTAGGCGGGGGGCGACTGCTGCAGACCGTCCATTGGGAACGTCGCCTGGACAGCAGTCGCTGCGTGTAATACTTGTATATAGTGGCGCGAGTGGCGACCCATTCAGGATGGGTGCCCTACAGTCCACGCTGCTGGTTGGCGAGCACAGCTGCCTTGTGCTATTGCAGTGCTATCGTGTTTGTGCGTGTTCGTGAGAGGTTGTGCGCTTGTTGAACGAGAGGAAAACTGCGCCGTTCTCCGTGGAGTCCTGGCTACTGCAGCTGCATGGCAAGGCCACGGCATGTGCCAGCACATCAACTCCAAAATGCTGACAACGTGCTTGTCCTGACAATCAGCCGTGGATAGATCGGCTCTACCGAGTACCACGCAGACCGAACTAGACGTACCGAGTGAACCAAGAGGGATGTCCCCTCTAACGTAGCAAAACTGCGTGAAGTTGCTACACCAAGCCATGTGGACGAGTTCACAGGTAGAGAATAAAGAAGAACGGGTCAAGCACGGGGCTGGGGTTTGTTCAACATCCGGTACGACGCAGGTCGTCGCAGGGTACAGCCAGCAATCGACTTCAATGAAGGATAGCATCAGAGCTCCAAGGAGGAAGATGTTCGTTGGACAAGTCTTCAGCTCACGACAACGCTGACAGCTGCTGACTCACCGGATAAACATGAACGAAATTTGGTTGTATGCATCGAGCCTTGCAATCGAGGTCGCGTGTACATTTTTCAATACAAAACGCCGCAGGGTCATGAGAGCCTCCACCAGCATGTGGTGTCTATCGAGACACACTGCCGGGCATAAAGCCAATCTCAAGGCATGTACGAGCGTTTCCACTTCGGGCTGGACCGAGCACACAAGCTGGGCACACGACCTCGAGCGTGTGCCACTTCCTGCGGCAAACACACGCTACTCAGCTAGAACATGCACAAGATAGGACAAGAGGGCGAGAGGCCAAAACAACCCATCTGCTCCTAAAACAAAAAATTCCGGGACAAACCTGGGTGCCACGAAAGCCTGCGCTCCAGCAGCGCACATGGCCAAGCAAGCAGTCTTCATCTTTAGAGTTGGGGTGGTGATGGTGGTGAGTCCTAACGTGTATATCTAGACTTTCCAGGGGTGTGTGCCACTCTCGAGGGGCGTCGTCCCGTCCCAGCTTGACCCACATATCTTGCCGTCGGTATTTTCCCGATCCCCTGCTGAACGCGTGTTTTTGAACTCCCTCTTTTCGCGCTTCATCTCCCGCCGCCTCGCCCTTCCCCAAGCTCGCCATTCCGCTCTTTGCCTGTCCTTCACATCCTCTTCCTTCGTCCCCCTCAACACCAAACTTGAAAGATGAAGTCCGCGTGCATGGCTCTCGCTTGCGCCGCCTCGGCCAACGCCTTCGTGGCCCCCAGGTCAGTGACGTAGTGATCTCTATCGTGGAGGCCGGTTTGTTCTTCAAGATGCGTAATCCGCTACAAGAGCTCGTCAGGCTGTTCAGGCATCCAAATCATGCGTGCCCGTAACAGCCGTGGTGGATCTCGTACGCTACGGGACAGGAACGGTAGAATGCAATGCTTGCCGAGAGAGAGACTCGATCCCTGCGGATGTTCACCTGCTGATGCCTCCAGCGAACTGGGCGATGCCTCCTGTTGACCAACTTGACGTTCGATCTTTTGGGCAACCGATGTTTGTCCACCTTCTCGCCAGAAAGCAACAAGTCTAGCTGCCGTGTTCATGTTGAATTGTTGTAGTAACTCCTTTGTCGAGATGGATGCGCAACGGTAGCGAATCACGTCCACAACAGTGGGCAGGAGCGCACCCCCCGACTCGGATATAGACCCCACCGTTCGCGCTATAGCTCCGGAAGGACTTATGTGTGGCAAAAATAGGGTTCATATTTGATGCACATGTTGTCTCGGTCAAAGAACGCTCGAATCCGAAAACAACGCTACTGCTCTTCTCGCATAGCGCGTCGCGTGCTGTGTAGCCACGAGTCTCTTCGGAGGCTCGCAGGCGGGTTACTAAGCATTGTAGCGAGGCGGATGACGCGCTGCTTTCGTGTGATGTGGTCGCGCGCCCTCATGCGTAGTCGGGAATTTCGAGAGAATCTATGACACGTCTGACGTCGCCCGCAAACCGCACATATTTTTTGCGTTGGGTAAAGTGTGTCGTCCGGTGCATTGATGCGTTATCTTTTGTCGGGATGCCACGACTACGGCAGCGTGAATGATATCTACGGTACTCTTTGATGAATATCTCCTGCCCCATGTGAATGGGCGGAGAGCACTGAACAAATCCTGCCGTCCTGCCAACTCAACACATTTTCCAATATCTGCCTGTTATTGGAGACGAATTCGATGCTTGGTGTGTACGCGTAGTGGGCAGATTTGTTCGGTGGATGTCGGAAGTGTCGTCATATTCCACCTAGTTCGTGCACAACCCACTTGATGTTCGGAAGCATGCTGTGCTGTATGGAGCATGCATCTGGTGTGCATCAAACTCCGAAGCAATTAAGAACGACTGTATTTTGACCACTGCACTACGTCAACACCCACCTCTAACGCTCCCCCCTCTCCACCCCTGTGCCTACCGTTCCAGCGCCTTCAACGGTGCCGCCGTCGCCACCCCGGCCAAGTCCTCCTCGGCCATGAAGATGTCGTTCGAGTCGGAGATCGGCGCGCAGCCCCCCCTGGGATTCTGGGACCCGCTCGGCCTCCTGGCCGACGCTGACCAGGAGCGGTTCGAGCGCCTCCGGTACGTGGAGGTGAAGCACGGGCGCATTGCTATGCTCGCCATCGCCGGCCACCTGACCCAGCAGAACGTCCGCCTCCCCGGCATGCTCTCCAACTCGGCCAACCTGTCTTTCGCGGACATGCCGAACGGTGTGGCTGCTCTGTCGAAGATCCCCCCGGCGGGCCTCGCCCAGATCTTCGCGTTCGTCGGTTTCCTTGAGCTGGCTGTGATGAAGAACGTGGAGGGCTCCTTCCCCGGAGACTTCACGAACGGCGGCAACCCGTTCGCATCTTCGTGGGACGCTATGTCAGAGGAGACCCAGGAGTCGAAGCGCGCGATCGAGCTCAACAACGGCCGCGCCGCGCAGATGGGCATCCTCGCTCTCATGGTGCACGAGGAGCTCAACAACAAGCCGTACATCATCAACGACCTCCTCGGCGCCTCGTACACCTTCAACTAAAAACCTTGCGTTTTTTCACGATGTGTTGTTGCAGTTTAGGAACGCGTTGTTGATAAACCTCTTTCCTGGAACCTTCGTTTCTCGACCGTCTTGGCCCCCCCGTGTTTCGCCGCATGGCCTCCTAAAATTGAAGTATTGCCACTCGTTAATCGGTCGATTGTTTCAATCGCCAACCTAGGGGCCTTGTTATTCTAAGCGTATGGAAGGGGCTTGAAGGTGTGGGGACGGGTTAGGGTTTTTGTAGATGGTGTTGGGGACATATGTTACTTTGGCGTGGCCATTTTTGTAGGAGAAATGATCCTTGGCACGGAGGGAGGATTTTTTAGATTAGACATTATGAAGTGTCCGGCATGTTTCCGAGAATAGATTTTGGAGGTTGCTTTTTGCGACTACAAGCTGCTTCCATCTATTTTTAGGGGTTCGGATCTCGGACTTTTTATCAAGAAACAAAGAGATTTCTATAACCAGAGCACCTGACATGTAATTCCCACGTTTACAGTTGCGATGAAGGCACACATGGACCGTGCAGACGGCATGTTGGCTGCATTCGATGGCAATTGAAACGAGTGGGTAAGCGTGTTGTCCTCGATTGAACTCCAGCACTTAGCCCGACACATCGAGCGGTGTTCGGCATCGTGATCCTGTGGTCGCAACGATTTGTTGGTCAGCGAACGCGAAATGTGCACCGCGCACGCACGATGTGCATGCAATAGGCCATGTAGCGAAAATGAACTGCGCACACATGCCAACAGTGTGGAGTGTCACGTTGAGCCGTGTCCGGCAGCGCTCGTACTTATCTCACACGAACTTGGCAAGGCATGGTTCCAGCCAAGCCATGTCCCTCGTTTTATTGGACGTGCGTCCAACGTGGTGTCGAAAGGCATAAAATTTTGTTCGTTATACGCATCTTACAATATCTCGAAACCCACGGTAACGTCGCACATGCCGCGTAGTTCCGTGACGCGCAGTGGGCCGATCCGAAGCTGGAACACGAACAGTGATTTTTCCCCAATTTGGACATCGTGGATCATGTATACTACCTAGATATTTCATACTCGCCACTTACGTCGAAAATAACATGCTCGGCGAGGTAGCGCGGCAGGACGTGGTACCCAGTACACAAAAACACAGGTTTTCCAACGGGGTGGAAGGGTCGTGCAAACACCCCACCGACAAATGAGAACCTATGGGGAACATCGAGGCATACAATCAACGTGGTCCGGGCCCGAGCCTCCGGGTAAACGTCAACCCAATCTCGTTGCGTGTATGAAGCGTTCGTACGTACGTAAGCTTCGTTCCGCCGGACATGAACGTACCCTTGCCCACCTTCGGGCCTGGATACATTTTCTTCTTTTTAGGGAAAAGGAGGTGAGCAACCCCCCAAAAAAATTGGCCACAGGCAGGCCTCCTAGAAACGAGAGCACGCACCGAGCTTGTTTATGTAGCATGCCTTCCGTTCTTCCCGGTCCCACCGCATCTATCTCATGATGTCCACAAAAAACAGGTGGATCAATCAAGCTGATCGTTTTTATCACTACTCTCCTTTAGCATTCCATCATGCTTCCCCCCCCATCATGCCTACACGACATACAACAAAGAGGCGAGGGAATGCCAATCAAGGTGGCCTCCACGCCACGTCCACGGCATCCGTGCGAAACCTCTGGGTGCAAGTGGTGTCCTCCAGCGCGGTGCCGCCTCCGTGCATGTACTGGAACACCCCCGCCTGGGCGATCATGGCGCCGTTGTCTATGCAGTACCTGAACACCGGCGTGATGGGGGACGACAACAACAAAAGCAGCAGGAGCAGCAACATCGTTTTACTAGTTAGTTGAGAATAGCTGAGGACAGATTGAAAGACAAACAACTGCTTGCGGTCATTTGATTTCACTCCCCAATTCGTTGTCGTTGGCAGGGTGCGAGAGGCAAGCAAGGCATCTTATATTCAGATAGCGCCCATTTCACAGATCCAGCATTGGCCGAGGCTGAGGCTAGGGTTCTTCGTTCCTCTTGCGGGCTACACCCATGTTTTTGAGTTGGAGGGGTGCTGAATTAAGCGGGCTAACAAACTGATGATGTTCAAGTTCCCTCAAATATAAAGGTGGGAAAGAAACATGTTGAGCGACAAGTTCTTTACTAAGCAAGTTCTTCGTAGCGGGCGCTATCTGTACTTTTTTTTTTTCTCCCATCGTTGGATTCTGTCGGCTGCCCCTCTGGCCCCTATCCTCCACTTCTACTAGCTCGACGACCCAACCGGGGTCGCACGGGATGCGGGGGTTGGACCCCCTCCTGCGGTTCCTGCCTGAGACATTTTTATCGCGAGAAGGGCACAGCAATCCCTTCCCTCGCGACTTATGAAGTCCATCAGTTTATGTGCCTCCAGGAATAATGATGCATGGCGAACTGAATTGCACGGACGGACGGTTGGCCGGAAACAAGTATTTGGCACTGCTTGCGGTTTGACGGAGGGATGGCGGTGGTGGCGAGTGGCCAAAACTATTATTTTAGGTGTCTAAGCCGGAACGCCGGCAGGGCTATGCATGCATAAAAGAACAAACAACAACAACAAAAACAGCAACAACAACAACAACAACAACAACAACAACAACAACAACAACAACAACAGCAGCAGTGTCCCGTGTTCTTCACTGTTCACCTACACACGTACCTGTGATCCATCGCACACACACGGCCGCCGCGCTCCGCCGCCATGAGCCCCATCATCTCCTGCAGCCGCCGGTTGCATCCCACGCCCCCGACTATGAGCACCGTGTTCTTCCCGCAGTGCGCCATAGCCCTCTCTGTGATCTCTACCAGCATCGCGAACAGGGTTTCCTGCAGGCACGAGCAGTGTTCGGGGGAGGGGTGTACACTCGTGTAAACGTTTGCCGTGGTCGTTAGACCACTAACCAGGCGTACTCCAGAGGCACGCATGCCGTAGTGGCTGGACCATTGATCAGGCGTTCTCGAGAAGCACGCAATTTTGTTTTGGGGGGGGGGGGCGGGGATTCATGTAAACACCGTAGTCATGGAGATTTTCGATCTTGCGTCCCTACAGCAATCAATGCCGGGACGGAGGAGGAGCGACATGCCGGAACTGTGCTTGCTTGGCACCATTGGCCACGCATCCCTTTGGAGACATCGGCTTGTAGTATGCGGAGAGGGGTCTGGCGAGGATGGGAACACGGGTAAAATAGGTGCGCGGGGTAGGGGCGCGGTATAACTTCTGATATTGCGCGCGACGTGGTTCTGCCCCTGTCTGCCTCCGCCACCATCGCCAAAAGGGTCTCGCGGCACAAAAGGGCGCGTAGATTGCTGTGGGGGGTCGGGAAGGGGAGGACCTTCCAATCGAAACGGTTGTTGGACGCTTTCAGGTGCAAGGTTGGTACAATATTCATGTGCTTTCTGCCTACCGCACTAATCCGGTGTTTCGCTACAGTACCCCAATATTGTTTTTTGTGTCCGTGAAGTGAACACTCTCGATCGCGGGCTCCGCGTCCTCGCGGCGATTGTGTACACATACATGCATGGTACGCAGAAGAAACTTGGTTCCATGTGTTCCATGTGTCATTTCAGGAAGACTCTGGCGTAAGAACGACGTCAACGTGTCCACGCCGTCCAGAAACTTGTTCAAATACCCATGTCGTTTTTCTCTATGGTACGTTTTTGAAAGGGAGGAGAGGTGCTCATGTGCTTTTGGTGGAAACCGTGTCATCGGTAGATGCAAATACCCATGCCTATGGCATTTATTTCGGAGGAGAGGTGCTTATATCTTCTTTGTAGAAACCACTTCGTCGTGCAGATTCAGCAAGCAGAGCCCTTTTTTGTTCGCACCTGCAGCGAGAAGCACAAGTCGGCAGCCGTGCACGTGCCGGACTCCATCCCGCCCTTGACCATGCCTTCCACGTGGGAGAGGATGCCCGTGAAGGACACGTCCATCCCCTGTTGTTGTTGTTGTTGTTGTTGCCACGGGATAGGGCAGTGCAGGGTACAGTATATATCATGCATCGGTAAAAAACATGATCGTTTTATTTCCGGTCGCCGGTCGTTGCGGGTGTCTTTATCGGTCGGTCGGTGTTTGCCCTTGATCAATGCGCTGGTACCCAACGCTGGTTAAAAACGTTGATCGTGTCACCACTTTGTACCTATCGTGCCAGTTACTTTACCTAGCTAGGATTGCATGTAACCAGCTTCGCACTAGAATATCGCTTCGATTCTCTCGTACCTTGCATGCTCCTGGGATCGAGCTCGTGCTGCCGGGCTGCAAGTTGATAAACATTATCGCTCTTTTTTATTACCATGCCGAGGCGCAACTCCCTGCCGGTCAGCTCAGATCTGGCTCTGTTAAGCTTAACGACGAAGTAACGCGCTTGTGACGGCAAGTGCCTATCGCTGTCTGCGAAATGGGTCTCAGAGGACAAGTGACATTGAGGTCTTCAGCTATCGATGTCTGCGCCATGGGGGTGAAGTGACAAGTAACACACCAGTCACTGGCTCTTGACCTGTTTACTCTACACCATCAACAACGACGACGACGACAACAACAACAACAACAACAACAACAACAACAGCAACAACAACAACACCAACACCAACACCAACACCAACAACAACGTTGAGTCAGCACCTTGACACCGTAGGGCAGGTCGACAAACTTGGTGCCCTTCTTGGCGAGCTGCTCGATGTTGTAGCCGGGAGAAGGGTCGTTCGACAGACCCAGAACTCTGAGACCCCACCACAACGGGGCGGCACAGGAGAGAAAGAGAGAGAGAGAGAGAGAGAGAGAGAGAGAGAGAGAGAGA